ACCCTTCGCTACTCCTCAGTTCTTCTCTCCTATCAACCTTTCTGCAATCTCTCCCTCCTGGACCCTTCCAAAACCTCCCTCTATTCCAGGCTGGGCATCCTTCAGCCGGCTCATAGTGGCACTCTCCGTCTCTTCACAAGGTCCCACTTTCCCTCACCCACACCACACCCAACTCTCTTCCTACCCCTAACTCCACAGTGGCCTTCCCTCCCATAATCCAACCCCCCTCCAATCCCCTACCACCGTCCCTCCCCCACCAGTGCCTCTATCACATTTCCCTCCAAAAGATCATTCCCTTTAAAACAAAGCTCTCACCGTCCACAAACCTCTTCGGAACAAGTCAAATTTTCTCATTGGACTCACTGAAACAGATCTCCATTTGATCTCCATCTTCTCCCAAACTGCCCTCGGCTTATCCCCCTACTCTTCTGGCTCCTTTCTCTCCTTTGAGTACATCAGTATGTACCATCCCTCTCTTCTCTTTCAAAATCCTCCTAGTCTACCACCCCCCAAAGCACCTGGCTCAAATATTTCCTCTCTCCTCTACACCAAGCACCACTTCATAATGGCTGATTTCAACCTACGCTTAAGTCCTCCTGCCCCACCTCCTCCGATTTCTCACCTCCCTTAACCTTAATATCCACATAGACTCCGCCCGCATCCACAACCAAGGACACACCCTCAATCTCATCATTACCCAAGGTCTTGACATCTCTGAGCTCTCCATCGTGGACATGAACATCTCAGACCATTTCCTCGTTTCCCCCTCTTCCCACATCCCCTTTCCCTCTGATCCTTTAAATCCAAACCTATGCACTCAAGCACAGACGGCACAAAATCAGCCTCATAGTTCACCACTGGACCTGGCTTGAACACCTCTGAACTTATTCTCTCTCTCTCTGAAAAAAGCCAAAAACACATTTTCCTCCAACATTATCCTGATGGCCAAAGAACAATCCTAAGCTCCTGCCCCTCCTTAAGCAATGTCCATCCTCACCTCAGAAACCAAATGCAAAGAAGTCCTGAACTTCTTCACATTTGCTTGGCTGCTTCCTCTTCTCCCCCTCACCCGCCACATCCTTGTCTTCCAGAACTCCTATTTCCTCTTCTATTGCCGCAACCACTGCCGCAACCTACACTCCTTTGCCTCCATTTCTACCTCATCCCTCAAAACCCTCATGAATCAGATGAAATCTACCACTTGCTCTCTCAACCCCATCCTTAATAAACTGCTGACCAAATGCCACTCCTCTCACCCTACTGATGGATAATCAACATGTCCCTCTTCTCTGGCACTATTCCCCCCCCCCCCCTCCCAATAAATGCCATCATCACCCCTATCCTCAAAAAACTTTGATCCGTCAAACTTCACTAACTACCAGCCCATCTCAAACCTGCTCTTCCTTTCTAAAGTCCTCAAATGCATCATTGCCACCCAACTTCGATTACACCTTTCCTCCCTCTCCCTTCTTGAGCCCCTCCAGTCCGGGTTCCACTCTGCTCAAGCACTTGGCAGGACCGCCTTCCTTAACCGATTGCTCACTTTCACCCCATCTTTCTTCAAATGCTGTTGAAATTCTCGTTCATGCTTTCGTCACTTCCCGCCTTGATTTTTCCACTGGGGACCCATCCCCCAGACCCACTATTAACAAGATTTAAATCCTTCAAAACTCTGCCACCGTGTCCTCATTCACACCAGGCTCTGCACTCTCATCACCCCAGTTTTTGCCAGGCTCTACTGGCTCCCTGTGGCAGAACACATCAATTTCAAGATTCACGCCTGGCACCTCCCTACTTCTCCCATCTGCTCACATCCTTCTCCTCTACCCATCGCCTTCACTGCGCTGCAGGTCCCTCATCCCCCCTACTCCACAACAAGCAGCCGTGCTTTCAGTCTCTAGAACTCCTTACCTCAATCCTTCCATCTTGCTCCCTCTCTCTACCTATCTTCATATCACATCTGAAACCTTTCCTCTTAACTGTGCCTTTGATCACCTCTCCCTCGCCCATTTTCATCTTAGCATCAAACCACACCACTGTTAAGCACTCTGTGATGCTACCTATGAAGGGCCCCATAATAAATACAAGTTGTTGTCATTGTTGTTTTTGGTTTGAGAGAGGTTTTTAATAAAAGGCTCTAAAAAAACACTTTTTAGTAAGCATGATTATGTTTATGATAACCCAAATTCAGAAAAATGTACTTTCTTCATCAACTATACTGGCACACTGCATTTTTACTGCTTCCTTTGGAAAAGGGTTCTATCATGACAAAGTTGTCTTTCATCCCCTTAATCTCCATCGGTCCTCCCTGTACCTTGAATTGGTTTCCCTGACAACTACCAGTTCAATGTCAACCATGACAGTCCGTCAAGAGTCACATCTGACAGTCAGCGAGACCTGAAATGACCTTGGACTGCTAGTGTTACACATTTGTGATAGCATCGATCCAAAACAGAAAAATTACTTTTATAATCATACTAGCTGTACCCGTTGCAGTTATGTTTGCAACCAGTTTCATTTAATCAGCCTTCTCACTTTCGTCTGGCATTTTTATTTGTCCTTGATATGCTTGATCTTCGGTTCTTAGGCTCTTTATCCCATAAGATTAAGAAAATGTGCTACTGAACTCATTAGCACCCCTTGTTCACATATTTACACACATACCCTTTTGGGAGGTCTCCTGGTTTGGAGGATTCCTGGTTGGAGTGTGTGTGTGATGAGCTTGTTTAGGTTACAATAGGAGATGCCCGCAGAAAAAATATGCCCATGACACTTCCCCATTCAAGACCTTTCTGATGAGGTATAAATCATGTCTCTACGTCAATCGCTTATTGCTTGGCGGATACACAGAGACAGACATTTTGTCTTTATTAGTATAGATTGCACTGAAATTACACAAGAGTGTCTATTTGACTTCTCTACATATCAATCAATTCCCAGCAGTTTCAATGAAGCCTTTACAGCATATAACACCCATAAAGATTCCCAATTGACAGTGATGTAAATACTGGTAATCCCTCATTGGAAAATTGAATAATTTCATTTTAGAGATGCGTCCTGGGAAAAGTTAAAATTAATCAAAATACTAATTCCTTATCTCCCCTTACTGCACTTCTGAAGTTTTCACTCAAAGCTGTAACTGATCACCTGATGAATGTGTACAAAATTAGCCAAAAGAAGCCAAAAACAATCTGCACTGAGCTTGTCAATCTCCCCTCAACTGCAAAGATACACACATTTAACCAAAGGCTGTTTAAGCATAGGAGGATCACAGACCCATTTTTGAAGTGTTTCTCCAGTTATCCCTGACCACAACCAAACAATATTTGATTCCACTACTGAGATATGGGCCCACAAGGAGATGACCAGTATTCATGTCACAATCATTGTTGACAGACTATTTAATGGGAGTGTGTGTGTGTGTGTGCGGGGGGATAGAGGAGGGGGATAGAAAAAAAATGTCTGTTATTGTCTCCTAAACTGACATCCATATACCTCCAGCAGAGGTAGTGATTAAAACCACAATTTTTTCCCTGCAAAACCAAGAGCACTGATCGCCTTGTAGCACCCCAAGTGCCACCCATGCTGACAGCAGTTAACTCAGAACAGGCCAAGCTTCAAACCACAGATACCGATAGTTGAATAGCCTGTCAACATTCAGATACTTAAAACACCAATCCTTTAGCAAGGCAGCAGAGAATCCATGGCAGTGATGGCACTGAACCTAGTACATGTCACTGCCTTCAGGAAAAGGTAAGAATAGCAGTGGGCAATTACCCAACGAGAAGAAATTTATCAACATTCTAGACAGAAGTGTTATTAATCAGATGGATCTATGAATAACAATAACATTAGCACTCACCTATGGGAAAATTTATGTGAAGGCACTTCAAAACCTGTCAAGACCTCACTGCAGAAAAGTTCAGTACACTTTCACTCGATTACAGAGCAAAATTCTGATTAATGATGTGATAATTAAAAACTATTTTACTAAAAACAGGTCTCAATGTTGAGTTTGCTATAACATGAGGGATCATAATAACTAGCGGTTGTTATACCGAGGTCAGCCTGTATTATGAAGTCATTCACTTCATGTGACCTCACATTACACTTATTATTATTACACCACTATATTAGCAAGTTGTTATACCAGCTTGCAGTCTCAACCCCTGACCTTTCTCCCCTCATGACCAGAATTTTGCCTCTCTTGTTCAGCTGCTGAATCCCGTTATTCACCAGTACATCATCAACAAAGGAAAAACCCACATCACTTGCAAATACAAACAAAAAAAAAGCCACTTCATTTACAACCCAAGGTTCAGAGCTATAATCAAACTCTCTCTTGACTTCTCCGCTCCAATTTCAAGGAGTTCAGGAAAATCTGAAGCCTGTGTGAAGGTTTGACACTAAATCTCTCAGATTCCAGAGAATCTATTAATCCACTTGAACGTGTCACTCTATTAGGCATCAAACCCAATTAAGACAGACCCCGGGGCAGCCCTTCAGTGAGACAGATCATCTTTGGAGGTGTCAGACCCGCCGGAAAAAAAAACTTCACAGAGAAGTGAAGAGTGACAAGTGTTGGGAGACCGCTGTGGAGTCCTGTGGCTCAGTGGTCAGAGCGCTCCCCAGGACAGGACAGGACAGGACAGGGTTGGGCTCGGCTCCCGGGCAGAGCAGCACATAGGCTCACTTCCCTGACTCCACACTGACGCCTGTGTTTACCTCTCGCAGTGAGTAGGAACCCCCGGTTATGAGTCGGTTGGCGGATCCCTTCTCCGGGAGTAATAATCCCTTCAAAAAATAATAATAACGCGGTCACTCAACTCACGCCCGTTTGTGGGGACGCTGTTGGGCGCCGCGTTTCCGCCCCCAAAACACACAGCGCTTCGAGACGTCTCTATATCAAATGCAAAGATGATGGGGTTCCAGCCGCCCCCCTCCCGCCCCCCGTGCCGCGCCGCGCCGCTCTCGCTGCCCCGGGGGGAGGGGTCGCTTACCCTGCTGGATGACCGGGGCTTCCCCGTTATGTGCCGCGGCGCTGCTGCTGTGGACGGGGACGCTGAGCTGCCGCTCGGGCTCGGGGAGGCAGCGCTTGCAGAAGGAATGGAGGCACGGCAGCAGTTTGGGCTCCCGGCCCTGCAGGCTGTCCCGGCAAACGGCGCACTCGTCCAGGAGATTCAGGCTCAGGCTGAGGCTCAGCTCCGCCACCAGCGCCTCGGTGACCGCCGCCCCGGCCATCGCCCCGGGCATGGCCGCCGCCTTCTCCGGGCCCGCTCCGGGGACTGTGCTCGGCCCGGGACCCGCAGCTGCAGCTCCTGGACTCGGACCAGGCGCCGTTGTCGCCGCCGCCGCGGGACCAGCGCTGGGGCTCGGCTCCGCTCTGACACTAGGGCCCGGGCTGGGCTCGGTCCCGGGCCCAGGCGGCTCAGCGGCAGCCGGCACCGCGGGGGCCGCGCTGACGGTCACGGACGTCGCCCCGGCGGCCTCGGCGTCGACTTGCGGGTTGTCTCGGTGGTCGCCGTCCTTGTCGGGCGGAGCGCTCCGCTCCTCGGCGCCGCTCGCCTCGCCGCCATTCCCACCTTTGTTGTCCGCCATCTTGTTACCACCACTGTCGGGCGCATGCGCGCGCGGGCCGGGCCGGGCTCGGGAGCTACGGGACCTGTGATTGGCTCGACTCCCCCCGCGCCTTATGCCAAACCCCTCTCGATTGGCTCCACGGCCGTCGGGCCGACGGAGCTCTGATTGGCTGAGCGGACTCAGGCAGGTTGCAGGTGCCCCACCTGCTGCTGCAATATAAGCCAATCAGCGGCAGCGACAACAAGAACAACAGCGACAACAACAACAACAGCGACAACAACAACAACAGCGACAACAACAACAACAACAACAGCGACAACAACAGCGACAACAACGACAGCAGCAACAAAGCGACAAGAACAGCAGCAACAGCAACAGCGACAACAGCAACAACAGTGACAGCAACAATAACAAAATGACATTTATTGAGAGCGCCTTTCACGTCGCTGAACAGTCAGCTGTCGGGGCCCGAGCCCTGGGGGAGAGGTGGTGTAGAGGTGAGGGAAGGCAAAGAGACAGCATCAACATCAACAACAGCATCAACAGCAGCGGGAGCTACATTAACAGCAGCGACAACATCAACAACAACAGCATCACCAACAAGACCAGCAACTACATCAACAACATCAACAATGGCAGCAATGGCAGCAACGTTAACAGCAGCGACAACATCATGATCATCAACATCATCAACAGCCACAACAACATCATCAACAGCCACAACAACAATATCAACTACAACAACAATACCAGCAACAGCAAAAACATCAACAGCAACAACATCGGTAACAGAAACAACAACGACAACAGCAGCAGCAGCAACATCAACCACATCAACATCAAGAACAACAACAAAATCAACAGCAGCAACAACAACATCATCAAGGGCAACGACAACAAAAACATCAACACCAGCAGCAAAAACATCAACAACACCAGCAACAACAACGACAGCATCAATAGCAACAGCAACAACAGCAGCAACAATAGCAGCAACATCCGCAGTGACAATGACAACAACCGCAATGACAACAACAACGACAACATCAGCAACAACAACAGCAACAGGAACAACAACAATATCATCAACAACAGCAGCAGCAATAACAACATCAACATCAGCAGCAACAATAGCAGCAACAGCAACAACAAAAGTAACAACAGCAGCAATAAGAACAGCAGCAATAGAAGTAACATGAAAAACTGCAGCAACAACATCAGCACCAGGAACAACAACAGCAACAACATCAACAACAGCAACAATGACAATAATATCAGCAACAACAACAACAGCAACAAAAACAGCAGCAACAACAGCAGCAGCAGCAGCAACAGGACCAACATCAATAACAGCAGCATCAGCAACAACAACAACAGCACCAACACAGCAGCAAAAATGACAACAACAGCACCAACATCAACAACAGCAACAATGACAACAACATCAGGAATAACGACAACAGCAGCAGCAACAATGACGATAACAACAACGACAACAACAGCAGGAACAGCAACAACAAATTCAACAACATCAACAACAATAAGAGCAGCAACAACAGCAGCAATAGCAACAACAAATTCAACATCATCATCAACAACAGCAGCAACAACTTCAATGACAGCAACAAAGGTACCAGCAACAACAACAACTTGGATTTATATAGCTCCCTCTAAGCCGAATGGCGTCTCAGAGCGAGACGAAGGGAGTGAGGAAGGGAGTTCCAGAGCCTCGGGGCATAGTGGCTGAAGGCACGGCCGCCGATGGTGGAGCGGAGGATTCGGGGGACAAGGAGGAGACCAGACCCAGTGGAGCGAGGGTAACGGGCACTGCTGTGAGAAGAGAGGACGTCAGAGAGGTCGGGGGGTGCAGAGGAGTGGAGGGATTTGAAGACAAGAGTGAGGATCTTGAAGTCGATCCTCTCAGGGACAGGCAGCCAGTGCAGTCTGGCAAGGACTGGGGTAATCGAGGAGCAGAGTTTGGTGCGGGTAAGAATGCAGGCGGCAGAATTCTGGATGACCTGGATTTTGTGAATGGCAGTGGAGTGGAGACCATCAAGGAGGGCATTTGAATAGGCCAGCCGAGAGGTGACAAAGGCATGGACCAGGGTTTCAGCAGCTTTTGGAGTGAGGTATTGATGGAGACGGGTGATGCGTTGGAGGTGGAAGAAAGTGGTGCTGGTGAGGGACCGGATGTGTGGGAGGAAGGATAATTGGGGGTTGAACCTTGGTTGCGTAAGGGTTGGAGAGTTTTAGGGGGAGGTCAGGTAGGTGGAGGAGGTGAGAACCATGTGATTTTAGACATTGACGAGAGCCAAAGAGTATGGCTTCCGTCTTGTCAAGAAGGAAATTCGCACTCATCCAGCTCCTTATGTGTCACAGGCAGCTGACAGAACATCAGGGGACTGGGGGTCGCAAAGTGAGGTGGAAAAATAGAGTTGGGTGTCATCCGCATACATGTGGAAGTGTACCCCATGTCTGTGGATGACACCCCAAGAGGGAGCATATAGATTAGGAAGAGGAGGGGGCCAAGGATGGATCCTTAGGGTACCCCGCAGGTAATCGGGTGATAGCGGGAGGAAAAGCCATTTGTGCAGATGTACTGTTGGTGGTTCGTGAGGTAGGACTTAAACCAGGCGAGTGCGGTCCCACTGAGGTGGATGACGGAGGAGGATGGGGTGATCAACTGTGTCGAAGGCGGCGGAGAGGTCCAGGTGGACGAGCAGGCAGAGGGAGTCCTGGTCACAGATAGAGAGGATGTCGTTTGAGACTTTCACAAGCGCAGTCTCTGTACTGTGGGCGGAAACCAGACTGGAGGAGTTTGAAGAGGGAGTGGGAGGAGAGGTGTGCACAGAGTTGATTGGCAACAACACGTACTAGGACTTTGGCGAGGAAGCGTAAGTTTGAAATAGGGCAGTAGTGGCTGGGGTTTGAGGGATCTAGGGAAGGTTTTTTGAGGAGGGGGGTGATGACATCAGCCAGTAGTGGGCAGAGGAGGGGGAGCTGGATTACCAGCAAGTTGGTGGGGAGGGGGTCGAGGCAGCAGGTGGTGGGTTTCATTGAATTGATGGTGGGTGAGAGGGAGGAAGGAGCGATGGGGAGGAAGGAATGTAGGATGGGGGTATTGATAGGGGCTGATGATGGAGAGGGTGAGGGAGACCGAGAGGTGGTGGGTGACAAGAGGCAGGCGGATGAAGTTGCCTGGAAGATGTTATGTAATTTGGATGAAAAGAAGTCCATGAAATCCTCGCACTTGGCAATAGATGTGAAGATTGAGGAGGCCTGAGGGGGCGCACGGAGGAGGTAGTGGGTGGTGGAAGAGGGATTTGGGATTGTTTTTTGCCTCCAAGATGATGTTGGAGTAGAAGCCGTTTTCGCCCGCGTCAAAGAACAGCGGTAGCTGTGGAGATGCTTGAGCCACAGTTGGTGGTAAACTGTCAGGCCAGTTTTCTGCCAACTGCGCTCAAGCAGCCGGGTTTGGGTTTTACGGGAGCGGAGATGATTGTTATACCAGGCGGATCGGGTGGGATTGGAGATGGTCCTGGATTTCAGGGGGACAAGGGAGTTGAAGGTGAAGGAAAGGCAATCATGGAGCAGCTGGACAGCTGCTTCAGGATCTCTGTGGGTGGAAGGCCAGAGGGCTAGGATTTTTGAGGATGTGAGGGCAACTTTGCGAGGGTCTCAGGGGGTAACCTTTCGCAGGGACGGTAGAGTATGGTTGAGGGCTTGGTGGAGGAGAGAAGGATGTGAGAGGAGAAGGAGATGAGGAAGTGGTCCGAGATGGCCTTGTCCACTATGCTAAGGTCGGAAATATCAAGGCCGTGGGTGATGACGATGTCGGGGGCATGGCCACGGTTGTGTGTCGGTGAATTAATGTGAAGAGTGAGGTTTAGGGAGGAGAGGAGGGCAGTGAAGTCAGAAGAAGTGGTCCAAGGGGAGTTTACATGGAGGTTGAAATCGCCCATTATGAGAGGCGTTCAGGGCAGAGGGACAGGGAAGAGAGGAGAGGAGAGATGTCAGAGAGGAAGGTCACAACAACCACATCAGCAACAGCACCAAGAGCAGAAGCAATAGGAGCAGCAACAGGACCAACATCAACAGCAGCAGCAACAACAATAACATTAGCAACAACAGAAGCACCACCGGAAAAATAACAGCAACAACATCATCAACAGTAGCAGCAACAACAGCAACAACAACAGCAGCAACAACAACGACGACGACAACAACATCAGCAACAATAACTACATCAACAACAGCAACAATGACAACAACAGCAGTAACAACAACAGCGCAACAACATCAACAACAGCAATAACGACAACAACGACAAGAACAGCAGCAACAATGACAACAACAGCAGCAACAACAACAGCAACAACAACAAAAACAGCAGCAACAGCAACAGAAACAACACATCAACAGTAACAGCAACAGGAATAACAGTAGCAACATCAACAACAACGGCAAAAACAGCAACGGCAACAACAGCAACAAGAGTAACATGAAAAACAGCAGCAAAAACATCAGCAACAATATCAACAACTGCAACAACAACAACAACTGCAACAGCAACAGCAACAACAAAAATCAGCAACAACGACAACAGCGACAACAAAAGCAACAATGGCAACAACAATGTTGTAACAGTAACAACGACAGCAACAGCAGCAACAACAACCGCAACAGCATCAACAACAGCAGC